GCCTTGCAAATATACATTTACCAATTCTAATCAATTTTTTGCCATTTTTATGATCAATGTTCTTTTCCAGCGGGCAAACAAAGGGAAGAAAGTGATAAGCTTAGCGGTGGCAGTATAGCTGGMATTGTGATTGGATTCATTGTGCTCAGCCTCATAATTATCATATTGGTATTTCTGCTCATTAAAAACAAGAAAAAGAGAAACAACCCAGCAGGTATGATCTACTATTGGAATGCCTTTCATAAACCTGCTATTGATTTGTCTTTTTTTGTATTTTTTGTCGTTTTGGTGCATCAAAGTTTGATTTCCAATTTGTTTCGCCAGTTTCACTTTGTTTCGCAGGTTTCACTTTGTTTCACTTTGTTTTGCAGGTTTCACTTTGTTTCGCGGGTTTCACTTTGTTTCGCAGGTTTCACTTTGTTTCGTGGGTTTCACTTTGTTTCACGGGTTTCACTTTGTTTCACGTTTTTTTTGTGAACTCAAAAGTCAATTTGAATCTGTTCAATAGAATACAACTAGAAATATGCTGTGATGATGACTCAAATGATGTTGATTAACAGTGATGATGATTGACCACTATTTGATCGAATTTCTAAAGGAACGGTTTTAGACTTTTGATGTGTCAAGTTGGACTTGATGATGTCTTTAGCCAAGTTTACAAAGTGCAAATTCTAGCTATTTGTAATCTTGTTTGTGCATATTGTCTTTTTTTAGGACGTCATTTCTTCATTAATCAAGCTTATGACAACACAGATGGCATGGTAATGACAAACCCTGCCTCTGGTCCCACCCCTCCCTCAGGACTACAAGATGCCAGTATCTTCTATGCAAGTATGTACTGCAGGTTTATTCATCGGGTGTAACAGGCTCAGTAATCAGGTTTAACATGTTTAATAATTAGTTTTAACAGGTTTGGAAATCAGGTTTTAATTAGTAATCGGGTTCAACAGGTTTAGTAATCAGTTGCAGCAGGCTTAGTAATTAGGTATAACAGGTTAAGTAATCAAGTGTAACAGGTTTAGTAATCAGTTGTAACCGAGGGTCAGTAATCAGGTTAAACAGGTTTACTAATCAAGTAATCATTTGTAGGAGGTTTAATAGGTTAAACAGGTTTAGTAATCAGTTGTAACTGGCTTAGTTGTCAGGTTTAACAGGTTTAGTGATCAAGTGTAACAGGTTTAGTAATCAAGTGTAACAGGTTTAGTAATCAGTTGTAGCAGGTTTAACAGGTTTAGTAATCAGGTTTAACCTGTGTTTCAGATACAGCTGTTGCGCCTCCTCCATACACACCACAAGCGGAAAGTACTGATCCTGCTCCAGCATACGCTGTTCCTACAGCACCTAACACAGGTTACGGTAATCTATACTCACAACCACCACCATACCAAGCTAGTGGAGATCGTAACGCTACGTCTACTGGCATTGGMTCAGTTACTAGTCTACGGGATACYYCCCCGGAAAACAGGTGAGAGTTAGGGTAAATGAATGGGTGGGAAAATAACAGAAAGGGGAAAAAAAGAAAATGTGAGAAGGAGGTTACGATAAGAAAATGAAGTAATGAAATGAAATTGATAACAAGAAGATAACATTAGTTACTAAATATCTTCATAATATGCTCATGTTTTAATGTATTTACTTTCTTTTTTTCAGTACACTTTCAGTTACAACAGTCAAACCAGGTGTGTGGTAAATCTCAGCATCTATGAAATCGCTACTTGTTCGATATTCTTGTAGTAGAGTTTCTTTGTCTTGTTGTCTCTCTTTCTATTGCACTTAAAATRGTTATCTGTTAGTGATAATGAAGAGCAGCGCTATCCAACTGACTCTAACAGTTCATGCTTTTTCTTCGCATGTTTTAAAGATGATRTCTTAAGAGGCATTCCTGCTCTTGAGTCGAGAAGTGAGTTATCATATCCATCCATTGACTTCATTTCGTCATTCATCCACGAATTTTTCMATCCATTAATCATTCCTTCATTTTTTTACGTTCCACCAAACCATCCCTCCCTGCTTCAATTCAATTCAATTTTTTGGTAATATTATTTATCTATTGAGTTAGTTATCTCTCCTTCCTTCATTTTCTAACGTTCATACACTTAATCATTCATTCATTTGTTTTATCTTCCATCAAACCATTCGTCCCTCCCTCCCATCCTTCCACTTTCCTTCCTTCCTTCATTTTCTCGCACGCTTTCATTTATTCATTCATTCATTTTTTCATTCATTTGATATAACTCGCCAATTCTGTCTGCTCTAACTCTGCTGCAACTAGAAGGTTCCAGATAGTGGTTTAAGATACACAACCCTACCCTACTAACTACACTTAAAATCAACTAAAAGTAAACTGTTTGTGGAGTGTTTAAGCACATAATCTGTCTTCATATATAATAATCTTAACTATTTAGTGCTAATTGCTTAGAATGATAGCTATAATTGAGCCAGAAATTATCATTAATTCGTGATTTTTTTCACGATTTGATTGCCATCTCTCCTTGCCGTAATACATACTAATAAAGCTCTGGTCGKATCTACAGCATCTGTACTTACCCCAGTGGACGGTCTAACGGGTACTGATGGTAATCCGTTCGGTGTGAAGACTGTACTCCCCCCAATTGCTGGCGCGGCTCCACAAGAAAAGAGGCCCATTAATAGCGATGAAGCAGGTAGGATATATACAGCTAATTTAAGAAGGTTGATGATGGAATAGATCAATGAAAACTACCCATGATCGATAGGAACTGTGGGTATTGTCGCAGTAATCGGTGCGCCACACCGGSTATTGGTGCCATACCAAGKTGGGCTCCACGGAAACGAGACGCTATTTTATGAGGAAAATATTTGGATTTGTTTTTCAAAGACATTCCCACGTTTCTTCTCAAGTTGTTTTTATTACCGTTGTCACTGTTGTTGCAGTTGTTGTTTCTGTTGTTGTTGGTGGTGTTGCTGTTGTTGTTGTTGTTATTGT